TAAGTACATAGTATGTGAATGTTTTGTAGTAATATATTTAACAACTATAATTGATTAGAGTGAAGTCACCATGAACCCGTGAAATGGATATTAGACTTGGAAACAATGGATAACAAGGCGGTCTTGTTTGATGGTATTAAGTTCGGCTCACGCGACTGACAAAATTTCACGGGGTAAAATGCGCGACTACACGGAGCAATTTTCTCTACACCTTGTCTTGCAACGTCGTTGCGACACATATTGCATGGAGCATTGCAACGTGTAACCTAGAGCGCAATTTGACAAAAAATGAGACAAGTTGTAGAATTCGTTACTACTTTTGGCAACAATTGCGTCTCCGTTACACCGTGTAAACACACTTGCAGCTTCAGGCCCCGTCCACACGTATCCGGAAATTTTTGTATCCGCAAATTTTTATTTTTTTATTTTTTTTATTTATTTTTTTTTTTGCGGATACGAAAATGTTCGCGTCCACACACAGCGTATTCGAATCATTTTCGAACCGTTTTCACTGTCCACACGTATCCGGAAATTTCTTGATCCGCCCTGATGCACGCTAGTGCCTACTCCCTTTGACGAATAGTTTTCCTTATTGAGCATGCGCAAAATCGTGTTTACGTCAGCGTATTCGAAAATTTGCGGATACGACCGTCCACACGTATCCGTATTCGGAGCGTATTCGAAAATTTCCGGATACGGATACAAAAATTTCCGGACACGTGTGGACGCAACCCGTATCCGAAAAAAAAAAATTGCGGATACAAAAATTTCCGGATACGTGTGGACGGGGCCTTATTCGCAACCGACGCTATTGCGAGACAAGTTGCAGAGAGCATTTCTCCGTGTTATAGCACYTTAACGCACCGACGATCCGGAAGACCTAGACGAATATATTAACGACCACGCCACGCGTCCACGCGTCAACGTCAAGTAAACATAACTATGTATAAAACTAGATAGGAGTCTCATATTTCGGCGGGACATTTAAATTGGGATGATTTCATTGCGTCGAGCTGTATTCAAATTTTTCTGTAGATTTGGAGAAATGTTTCACTTCTGTTGACAAAAATGACAAAATTTGTATCTCATTTAAAAGCAAGCGTTTGCCAAATTTATCTTCGATTCTTCGCATAAATCAAAGGTACTTATTACAGTTATTTTTCAAACCACACACTCCTTTGTTTAGTTTAATTCCATCATTTGTGATATAGATGCAGCTACTTCACACACTTCCATGTGCTTTGAAATTTAATATGGTTGACATTCGCATGTCGAATATGAACGACTTTTAAAACTATGACAAATAGAAGAAAGCTTATGCACTAAAGCTGCTTTATCTTTAACTAACCGAAAGAATATGCGACGAAGAATGATGTTAACGCTAATTATCTGTTAGAAAACACGTATATTAGGAGTTATTTACCTTTGAATATTGACGTTCTCCACTTGACATGAAATATGGACTCCAGAGGAAGATACGACGACATTCTGGACTTACGCATGCGCAACTAAATTTTATGACGTCAACGTCATGCAAAGTCATCCGGGTCAACCGTCGTCGGTGCTTAAAGTGCACCTAACCCCTGCTACAATACTTTCAGTATTGATTCTACATAAAGTGAATAGTTGAATGGTGAAATAATTCTTTATTTGAATGTTGCGTCTTCAAGTTATGAARGTTTATACTTCCAATATGTTACTGACTGTGACGTCAYCCCAGGCTTTTGARTGTATTTGTATTAATTTTTGATACTAACACTAGCCATTATGAGAYATCRAATTTACACAAATTTAAACTTTGTGGAAAACYTGAGTATAATRATGATGCTTTTTAAATACTGTTTATGCGAAACAGTCAAAATTTTTGTATTTAATGACGAGGGAGAGCGAGTTTTTTTAATCTCTGCTGCAAGCAGCACAAATCGACAAACGAGCGTGAGCGCGCGCGCGTTAAATCCACCTGTAGGTGAATATAACAGCATAAAACGTAAGTTATGACCAATTTGAGCTAGCCGGAGTTATTATATTTACTAGTGTAAGAATACTAATAA